AAAATAAAATTTTCGATTTTTTTCTTACTGGTTCAGGTTCATATTCATTCATTTAAGTTTTTAACAATATAAAATGTAGTCATAGAGTGAATTTAATACAATAATAATCGGTTTTGGTACATTTTTTAAAAAGTTGTTATTTTTTATGAATACAGTTAAACAAATAGTTAAAAATAATTAAATAAAGTTATTAGTTTACATTTTTAGATTAATTAAGTGTTGCTATGGGTAAAATATCTTTAATAGAGAGACAGAAAGTTATTGTGCTTCACGAAGAAGGTTATTCGCAGTGCCAAATTTCTTCCAAAACAGGATATTCGAAAACTGCTATTAGAGAAATCATTAAAAAGTTTAGAGAAACTGGCTCCCTTCGAAATAGAAAGAAAAGTGGCAGACCTCCTAAGCTAACAAAAGATGACAATAAATATTTAAAAACCCTTTCTTTAAGAAACAGGAAAAAAAACATCCACCGAATTGGCAAAGGACATTAATTCAGCAACAGGGAAAAATGTTAGCTCTTCTTGTATTCGACGACACCTACTCAAATCAGGATTACGAGGCTGCGTTGCTATTCGAAAACCTTTATAACGGCGTGGCAATAGAGAAAAACGACTTAAATATGCAAAACAACACAAAGATTGGACCCAGGAAATGTTTAATCGGGTTCTGTACACTGATGAGTCCAAATTTGAAATTTTTGGAACGAAAAGACGTCAATATGTTCGAAGAAGAATAGGAGAAGCCTATCAGCCCGAGTGTTTAAACCCTACTGTTAAACACGGAGGAGGCTCTTTACAAGTTTGGGGCTGTTTATCTTCATCTGGGGTAGGTGATCTGATCAAAATAGAGGGACGACTCACCGGGGAACGTTATGTGGATATTCTAAGACAGCATGCTATACCATCCGGAATGAGACTAATGGGCCATAATTTTATTCTGCAGCAGGACAATGACCCAAAACATTGTTCCCGAGTGGCAAAAAATTATTTAAATGAAATGGCAGAAGAAGGAATACTGGAAATGATGACCTGGCCTCCCCAGAGTCCAGATTTGAATATAATCGAGCATATTTGGGATTACTTGGACAGGAAAAAGGTCGAACATGCTCCCCGAAATGCTGATATATATATATATATATATATATATATATATATATATATATATATATATATATATATATATTTATATATATATATATATATATATATATATATATATATATATATATATATATATATATATATATATATATATATATATACATGCTCCCCGAAATGCTGATATATATATATATATATATATATATACATGCTCCCCGAAATGCTGATATATATATATATATATATATATATATATATATATATATATATATATATATATATATATTTATATATATATATATATATATATATATATATATATATATATATATATATATATATATATATATATATATATATATATATATATATATATATATAACGATTATATCTTTTATAACGATTTAACAGCAATTGAAAGTTTTGAAATGCAACTTATTTCCAATATTTATCAGTCCATATAATTAATAAACTATTTTTGCTATGTAGGCTAGAACTATGGAAATTTTTATTAATTTTCATTTCTTATGTTTATTCGTTTTGCACATCTTTTTTCTTTTAAAAATGTTTTTTGCTATATTTGACGTTTTTTTCTCAATACTTATATAATAGGAAAATAAAAAAATAAATTGTTTTTTATTTGTAAAATATATTATTTAATTAATAAATTTTGTAATGACCGAATATGTTAAATAAAGGAATAACATGGTTTCTTTAATGAATATATTTACTGCATTTGATGCATGTCTGAAATTGTTTCTTTTATATTGCCCAATATCAAATGTTAGTACCAAATATTTTATATATAAATATTAGTATTAATGAGTTTTTATTTTTTTACATGAAAAAGTTCTTAAAAATAATTTTTTTTTTACAACTAAGTAGCAAACAGTTTTCTTGATTTCAAGTGCATTGATAAAAACAGTAAAATTATGCAAAAATGTTTAAAAAATAAATTTAAAAAATCGCAAATTATAAACTATTTCCATAATATTCTGACTGAAAAAAGTCGTGAAAAATTTGTATATCAAAAGGTATTTTTATTTTTATATACTTATTTACTTTTTTCCACTGCTTGCATCAATTTTGGTAGTGGATATTAACAAACATCCTAAAAATAAGAAAACAAAAACGGTAAAATATTTAAGTTTGTTATTTTTCCAACAAATTTCTAACAATTTTCTTTTTTTATATTCCATTTTTTTAACTTATTTTATTTAGATTTTTTATTTCTTATAGACTTCTGTATATGTGACTTATGTATATGTGTGTATATATATATATATATATATATATATATATATATATATATATATATATATATATATATATATATATATATATATATATATATATATATATATTATATATATATATTATATATATATTTACATATATATTTATATATATATTTATACGTATATAATCAGGTATATATATATGTGTATATATATATGTGTGTGTGTATATATATATATATATATATATATATATATGTATATATATATATATATATATATATATATATATATATATATATATATATATATATATATATATATATATATATATATGTATCAGGCCTTGTTAAGAATCGTTATGCAGCTCGCATTTTACCTGCGAAATAGCGATTTGCCTACGCGTTCAGCAGTTTTGCGCTACGCAAAAACTTTATTCTTTTAGAATATTTAAATTATATTTTGATATCGTTTATGTGACATTTATTCAGGAAAAAGTAAAGTCGTAAATAAAAGCATTTAACTGCATTTGTAAACTAATAGATTTTTTGTTAAAGAAAAGTTTGTTTAATAATTTTTATTGTTGTTGTTGTTAAAAATTAGTTTAAGGAAATAAAGTTTTCATGTTTATGTTACGCAATAGCCTTTTTCAATAAGTTCATTTAAACAGTCTTTTAGAACAGTTTATGCAGAAAAAAATTAAGCTGTAAATAATTGTTGTAAAAAAAACATTTGTGGAATTTTTTTTTTATTAGATAAAAAAACAGATAGATAAACTTTTGTCTATTTTCTGTTGTTTTTTTTTAATATATTTTTAATTCATTTTATTAAATTTAAATATTTTTTTTATTAATCATAGTTTTAGTAAATAATTTTATTAAATTTAATTAAAATTTTTTTTTATGATATAATTTCCAAAGTAAAAAAAAAGATTTAATAAACTTAATTCAAGTTACTTAAAAATGTTCAAGTTACATATAACTTTATTTTAATTTCAGTTAAGTTTCAGGTAAGTTCCAATTCCAAATACTGGTCTGAATAATGGGCTTAACAAAAGCGCATATTTCAGTTTCATTCATTAATTACAAAAGCGTATTATTCATTTTATAACTAATTACAAACAATTTATAATTAAACGATTATTAAACTAAATTATTAAAAAATATAAAATAACAATTAATAAACAATTCATAAACAATTAAAAATGACGTCATACAAAAACATTCTTTTAAACTCGAGTTATAAATGTTATGTCTGGGTTTTCCTTTAGCCGTTAAATTTTATGTAGAAGAATTTTTTTTATAAAACGAACCAAAATTCAAACCAATTAAAAATAATGCGTTTAGTAAATAGACTCTTAAAAAGCCTAACTTATATTTCATTTTATAAACTAAACTAATACTAGTGTTATAAACATAAGATACATAAATTTCAAAATTATAATTATATTTATTAGAAAAAAATTCTGCCAATGAGTTCCTAAAACCGAAAATACTATTTTTCTTTTTGGATTGAGTAAAAAATAGTAAAAATACATTAGGTTTCACCGTACATAAAAATAAAAAATATTAATGGGAATAAAAAAAACAAAGCCGAAAAGTGGTAATTTTTGTTTCATTACAATATTTATGTTATCAAAGCCAGTTAGTGCAAACGTTTTTTTGTAATGGGGACAACCCAATATACGCTTTTAGTTGTAAGTACATTTAAATCCCTTTAAGAAAATCAACCATAAATAAGTGTCCCCTTATTTAAAAAACAACCCGTAAAATGAATGTTTTAAAGCAAAAAAAATTAAGTTTAAATAAGTTTAAGATTTTAATATTATATATATATATATATATATATATATATATATATATATATATATTTATATATATATATATATATATACATATATATATATACATATATATATATATATATATATATATATATATATATATATATATATATATATATATATATATATATATATATATATACACATATGGTAGTCAGAAAGTTTTTCCCATTAACTGTAGTTTTAAAGAGTGCGTTAATAAACCAGACAAAAAAAAGTTTAAAAACCTAATTTTTTTTTCTTAAATAATAGACTGCCTGCCTTAACCAAACCCTCAGTTGATGTAGCAGTACTCCCTTGCGAGTTAGGCCATTTGTCAGTCGATGTAGCAGCACTCTGTTGCGAGTCAGGCTATAAGATAGTTGATGTAGCAACACTTCGTTGTGAGTTAGGATATAAGATAGTCGATGTAGCAACACTCTCTTGTAGCAGCAGGCTAAAAGATAGTCGATGTAGCAACAATCCACGTATGTATTAAAAATATATTTTAACAAAATATCAACAAAAACACCATTAATTAAAAAAACTTTCTAGCCATTAATATTGCGGTTTTTTTAAAAAACAATAAAATTTAATGTATTTTTGCATTTATTTAATTGCTTGACATTTTGATGACAATAAAATGTAGCTTAAATGTCAAGGTAGCAAAATTGTAGTTGAAAGAGACTTTTTTTCACATTAAAAGACTCTTTTGACTATACTATAAGGATATATAAACATATATATGTATATATATATATATATATATATATATATATATATATATATATATATATATATATATGCATATGTAAACACATAAATTTTTTTACCTATTAGGTATTTCATTATGCATACTGCACTAACTTCTTTAGCATTTTTCGTAAACATATTATTGGTGCTGATGCTTTACCTTCGGTGAGTAAAAATATGTTAATATCTTTTTGTGTTTTTTTGTAAATGATTTTACAACAAATCTCTTCTGATATTTTACAAATAAAAATAGAGATTTTTTCTTTCAACTTCAACAATTTATTTTATGAGAAAAAAATAAGATACTTATGTAAAAAAAAAAAAAAAAACTAAACTAAAGGTTTAAGAAAACTGTATTAATATGAATCAGAAAAGAATAAATCATAAATACTAAAGGGTTTGAATTACAAAAATGTTTGTTTTGTTTTGAGTAAGTAGTAAGCAAGAATGAAAAGGTAAAACAGCAACAAAAACAATAAAAGCTAAAATCAAATGGTTTGATAATATTTTGCTAGTAATTATTTTGATCGGATTTTAGATTAGAGACAGTATGCAGTAGTCTTACTGATAATAATACATTTTAAATACTTTGTATGCAGCTAAATCTAACAATAACACCTCACACTTCCTATTAGAGTTGCTTCAATGTTTTGTCCTGGTCTGTATTATTCACTAGTAAAAATTTTCTAAAACCAGCAATTTTATTGTTCTGATGAAAATTATAAAAATTTCTTATGAAAATGATGAAAATTTCTTAGCAAACAATTCAGCTTTGTCTTTAGGAGAAGTAACAAAATCTAAACCATGCAAGAGAGAGGGAATAACTGTTTTGCCCATATTGTCACTACTGTCAAAGATACTGTCAAAGATTTTCCAGAAGTCTCTTGGGAGTCTAATTTTTAAGATTAAGTACGAGGTTTTGTGACCTGAGAAAAGGTTTTGGCGTTAAACAAAACTTTTTTACAATGGTTTCTAGCAATTGTAAACAAACTGTTTAAAATCTGTTTACTATTGTTTAGGCGATAGATATGGAAGTAATAGTTACAATTAAAAATAGCAGTAACACAATGAAAGAAAAATCGTGGAGGGAGTAAAAGATTCCATGTTAGCCTGAACTTACTAATGTAAATGCCTAGAACAAGTATGTGACTATTGGAATCTTTACGAATTGAAGTAAGATAAACATCATTATTAAAATCACGAGACGAGAAAGCTGAACTCAATTTAGTCTCACAAAGAGCAAGTAGGTCTGGTGAACTTTGCAAGTGATAAGACCCAACAGAAGAAAATTTACTTCAAAGACCACGAATGATAGATTTAGTGAACTTGGTGATGATGATGGTTTTTTATGATTTATGGTACTTTAGTTTTTTTTTGATTTGTTAAAGAACTTGACTCAAAGCATTTTCAGTATTCAGTACACTATTTAATAGTCAACACACATGCCTCATTACTGTTGATAAACCCTAAGCTATAACAACATGCTCCAAATGTGGTTTCGACAATGCACACCAAAAACACCAACAGGGACACCATCCCTGCATAATATGGTACTGTTAGTACCCTGTTACTTTACAGCTGTTGAAGGAATCAGTTTTTCTGAGAACCACTACAGAGTTCGAGAAAACCAACTACCAGTCAGCCTATGATCCATAAAAATAAGTTTTAGAGCTGTACCCTCATTAGGAGATAATAAAATGAGTTGCCTAGTCATAACAATAGAAACAAAAATAAAAAAACCCATGCATTGACTCAAGAAGATCAAGGATCCAGCTTTCTGCATCCTAAATGTAGATGTATTATAAATACATCTATGCCAACCTAATAGATAAAGAATGGATATAAAGCTGGTCAACAGATAAAATTTGTTGACCCCTTGAGTCTTTGCCTAGAATGCATTCTAGAAGACAGTAGGCGGATGCATTTAAACCTCTGCCCAAGATGAGTATTTTTATCAAGACACCATCTCTATCCTTATTCAAGCAAGAGCCCTAAGCAGAGTTGGCTTCCCCTAGCCTTTGCCTAAAAGAAACTCATCAGGTAATGAGATTCTTGATTCTATTGAAATCTTTGCTGGATTTTATTGAAGTTTTGAAAATAAATAAATCTTAAAAAGGATCCTAAAGTGCCAAGAAAAGTTGTGTTCATAGCAAAAAGAATGTCCAAAATAAATGTTTGGGTTGAATTTTTCAGGCCAAAACAAAACAAACATATACCAAGAAAAAGCGCCACAATTTTAAACAAAGCTTGCATTCTCCATTTCAGTACGATTTCTAAGTCCCCAAAATATATGCTGCAATCCAATACACCATTTGATTCCAAAGAGCCCCAGAATATGATGTCATTGTAGAATTTTTGTTTTTAAAAAAATCAAAGTATTTTTTTTTGAATCACTATTGTTTGTTTTTGTATTATTTGTTTTTAAAATAAATGTTTCTTATTTTAAAACTTGTATGACTATCCTATAATTTTTGAAGAAAGCTAAGCATAAGAATATTTTTTTACAGAGCCCAACAACTAAATAGAATTAAGATTTTATGGTACATTCTTAAATAAAGTAAATATATAAAAAATACATTAATCACCTTATTATATATTCTGAACCTTTTTTATTTTTATGTAAACAATGTGTTCTAAAATATTGATAATCATTTAATAACATTAATTATAGTACAAAACTAATTTAAAACAGTACACAAGCTTAAAATATCAGAAATATTTTATAAATATTTTTAATGCAAATTTGGCAGAAATAGGAAGTATATAATATATATATATATATATATATATATATATATATATATATATATATATATATATATATATATATATATATATATATATATATGCATACACTTTTTTCTAAAATGTTTACATTGCATTTAGATTTTTCAGAGTTTGATGGCTGGTGGAGCTTTTATACTTCCATCTGTATGTCTTACCTTATTTTCAATATGAATTTATTTTTTATCATTAAAAATTTAATGAATGAATGTTTTAAGCCTTATGTGTAAACAGGTATTTTTTTGTAAATATTTATAAAGATTAAAACTTGTATTTTGCGCAACTTTGCTTAAAGACCCAAACATCTTAGCAATGCCATATTCTTGTTGCTATGCCACTATTTGTGTTGCTATCGAAACTTGGTAAAAATAATTTTTATAAAGTTTCTCAACATGAGCCAAAAAAGTTTTATAAACATAAACAGATAAAATTGTTTTTATTTTTTATGACAGATCATTACTTTGTAGGTTCTAAAAGTGAAATAAGTTGAAACTCAAACTTATCCTGTAAGGCAACCTTAAGCTGCCAAAAATAGGTAAAGTTTCTCATTTTCAAAAAAAAAATCCAGTACATTTTATGATTTTATACTTTAAATATATTAATTAAAGTTTTTTAAACATTTTTTTGTATGTAATATGGGCAGGTAGATATTTGAACTAATGCAATTACTTGCATTTTGTCATCAAGGAAAATTTTATAATAATTTCATTCTTATTTTAAATTTTTTTTATTGCTTAAATTTTTTTATTAAAATATAACTTAGGGCTGTTCAAAACACAAGTTCATATTTTTTTATAATTTAAAAGAAAGTTTGTTTTTAACAACAAGAGAACTTTAATTACTTATTAATAAGGTCACTCAAAAAATAACTCAAATTTTGATTTCTGTTATATAGGGCATTTCTAAAAAATCACACAGGGAAACTTGTATATGTTTTGTCTATTATTTTTACAAAAATAAAACTGGTTATCTCCAATTTACTCTTATTTAATTCTAATCTATATAAATATTTTGAAAACAAGTAATCATATACATTAGTAATGTTATCCAAGAATAAATTAAGGTTGAGTCACGCACAGAACAGAAAAACTCAAATTTTAGTAACTAGATAAATGAACTCAAAAATTCCTCAAAAAATATAAGTTTTATCAGTATAATTTTTTTTTAAAATAATATTTTAATGGTAAAGATTTACGGATTTACGAATTGCACTTTGTATCATCAAGTCACAGTAATTATTTAAACACAGTTCATGTATGTTCACTCACAAAAGTTGCGAGTTTGTCAAGTTAATATAGTTTGTTTTTATGAAAATAAATTGCTTGTGATAATTTTAAGTGAAATATATTTCTTCAACTTATATTTAATATTTTTAAAATGAGAAATAGCAGTCATCAAATTTTTCTAGCTAGACTATGACGTTTGGAAATTCATTGCATAGTTTAAAAAGCTATTGCAGCATCAACACAAAAAATTTATTTAAAAATTCAGGTAGCCTAAAATAATAAAATTTTTTTTTGTTATAATTGTTCTTTAAGAAAATCATAATAGTATGCATTTACAAGTCCCAACTTGTGGAAGAAAAAAAATCACCCACAGAGATATCCTAAAGTTACAAACACCAAAGAAAATGATGTGTTTAAAAAAAAAAGTTGAAAAAGTCTCCAAGTCTGGCTATACAGTAAGTTATTGTTTGAAATATATGAACTAACTCCTAATTATTTGCATTATGCATATGTAAAAATTGGTAAAGCAAGAGTACATCTTCCAACGATTGATAAATGTATCTAACTCCTAATAAAGCTGTCATTGGTGTTGATTTTTCAGGGAACTATTAATAGATTACTTAATATGAACCACAACATTTTGATTTTAATTTTCACCTTGGCTGTAAATTATTGATGTCATTTGCAGTTGCTTCATACCATTAAAAACATTTAAAAAAGCCATGCATAAGGAACTTATGTAGTTTTAGAGCAACTGCTAGAATTTGTTTAATAAGTTACATTTTAGAGTGATAATGATACATCTCAGTTCAAAAATAATGGTGAATTATCATATCATATATCATAAATATCATGAGATCATTACAAGTACTTCAAAGGTGACACAAAAAGCAAATTAAATGGTTGTTTTTTTTTTTTTTGCTATATCAGGCTTGTTCGGGAAGCAGAAAACTGGCCAGATTTTTTAGTTATTTTGAGAAGATTTCATTTCATTTAAAAAAAAACGCAAAAAAGATTAATTGGACCGATGAGAGACAATTTACAAAAAAAAAAAAATCTACAAAAAGAAAAAAACTTTTAATGCGAAAAAACTTAAAGCAAAATAAATTACATTTAGAACAAATATTTTTATTTATGTTTATATAGTAGGGGGACATAACTCAAATAATTGGAAAATGTGACATGTACCCTTTTTCCCTGTGGTCTTCAAATAAAACAATCTAATCATTGAGTTATTTGTAGAAATTAAATAAACTAGAAAGAAATCAACTAAAAAGGTTAAAAATTCTTAATGAAGAGGAAGCGGAACTGCTTCACGATACTGCTGATGATGTTTAGTGAGTGGGCTTTTTAATTTTAATTAGTATTTAAAACAGAAAAAAGTAACTTAAAGTATAACAAGCTTGTAAGAATGGCAACTGAAGCAAAAATAAATAGAGTTAGTAAACCAATACCTAAGAATGTAAATATATATATATATATATATATATATATATATATATATATATATATATATATATATATATATATATATACATATATATATATATATATACATATATATATATATATATATATATATATATATAATATATATATATATATATATATATTTGTATGTGTGTGTGTGTGTTCTGTCTTGACCTCAGGCGCGGTGCTTGTTCATCCGTGAGTTACTTTGTATGCATGTTTAGTAACCAGTGTTTAGTAACCAGAAACTTCTTGTATGTTTATTTCACTTTGATGATTAATAGTTTTATTTAAAACATAATTATTGTCTTTTTGTTTACAAAATAAATGGTAAAAATTGCTAAAGAACAGACACAAAATTACATTTACATAAAAAAATACATACTTTTTAAATGAAAAATAAGAATATACTAATAAAGTCTATAATATATAATAAACTTTCAAAATTTTGACAATTTAAAGAACATATATTTAAAATATTTATTTTTGTAAACAAATAATAATAGTTTAAGATTTACGGCTTTGCAGATGTGGCTCCGACAGTGAGCCATAGTATTAAAGTAATAGTTTGTTCTATAAAATATTCTTAAAACAAATTATGCTAGAAATCTCAAAACTTGAATACTGAAATCACAAATCTTGAATAATGCAGTTTTCAAAACATTTCAACAGAATACTCTAGAACTTTATTTTGCTTAGTCAGTGTATTTTTTGAACCAATAGAATTAGATTGTAGATTTGGCAGGTTTTTAGTGTTTGCAAATATTCTTCCGCACAAAGATGTTTTGAGAACATTTAAGTTTATGTATGTTTCCATGTATGTCCGTAAAACAAAATTTTTTTGTTTGACATAAACTTAAATGTTCTTAAAACGACTAAAACATCTGGCCAGTTTTTTGTAACTAAATATTATTTCCGTGGTCAGTACTCTAGAGCAATTGCTCCCGCTTCCCTCCAAGCCTGTATAAAGGCATTTAATTTTCCATCCAAACTCGATGTTAAGAGAATCAGAGGATTTTGAGCAATACTGTTTGGTCAATGTGACTTTGTTTCTTTTGCTTAATGCTGTTTTTTATGAATATCTTTTTATAAAGTTCGCAACTTGAAAATGTAAGTCTAGTCACTAGTGGAACATATTTACAAGTAAAGGCCTGAGAGAAAAAAAGTGATTGGTTAGAAAAAGTATTAGTTTACTAATTTTACTATTTTAAGCAGATGTTCAGTGTTTTAGCAGATATTTAAGTGAAAAAAGCGGCAACGGTGTATTTGTCTTATTACTAAATTAATTTTTTGCCATATAAAATTAAAATAAATTTAAATTTCATCTCGTTCTTTACCTAATTTGATGACTAATGTCTTCAATGATAATAAAATGATTTTGACTAAGGTTGTCTAGGATTTTTTTATGATTGACCTCTAATGTTCATCTCTTTGCTAATAAATGTTTTTTCTTGTACTGTTTTCACAAGGACAGGTTAATACTGATCATCAAAGTTTTACATTATAAATGGGCTGTCAAAAATTGTGAAAATGCCTGCCTGAATACCCATTGAACAAATGGGCAGGTACACAGATACCATTGAACAAATGGGCAGGTACACAGATTACCATTGAACAAATGGCAGGTACACAGATAAAAAAATAATTTTTTATCTGATATATATATATATATATATTAATAGAATAAAACAGATACCTTTTAAAAAAATAATTTTTTATATAAAAGTTATACTTATACACTGTCAATAAAAACTTTTCATTCAATGATGTCATTTATTTAGAGTTGTTTTTTTTTCTCACTTATATCTAAATTTTAAATATATTTTTTTTATTGCATTTATTTTAAAATAAAGTATAAAGAAGAAATTACAACAACATTTTGAAAAACATACATAGCTTTTACAAAACATCTAGTTATTAAAAAAGGATGAACGCTATTTTCAAATATTTGAACAAAATGTATATCTTTTTATGAAGAAACTATAAACATTTTAAATATAATTTGCTTAACTGAAACTTGAAGTAGCTTCAAAAAAATTATGTTTTCTATCTTCCAGGTTTTGAAAGAGTTTTGTCTGAGTGACAAACTAATAAACAAGTTAGAGGAGTTCTGATTAAGGAAAAAAATGTGCATAACATGAGGAATAATTTGTTGATTTCTAAAACTGAAACTAAAAAAACTTTGCAAGCATTATGCGCAATGTTTTTGAGCGAGCGATATGCACAATGTTTTCGGATATTCTGATGGTGATAAAGAAATCATAGTTATTGAATTTTTAACAACAAGATCTTCCAAATCTTCTTTCACATATTGTTAGCATTGTTAAACTGTTAATTACAAATGATAATTTTAGGCTTAAGAATGAATGAAATAAATTTTAGACTTATCAAATGATGTTTACCCATTGTATTATTATGCTACCCAGGCAGTAACCAACGTTGACAGCTTTATTTTTACTTTATTGTAAACAACTTACTCTGAAAAATTCCATTTTAATTACACAAATAACTTTAAACTAAATAGTTTATTTACATCTTTATGTAAATCCTTAGCTTAACTTTTTCTTTCACCCTTATCTAAATATAAAAATTATATTTAAAGGTTGCAGTCCTAATGTTTTCACCATTGATCTTAAAGTATGGATCGTATTATATGATTAAACTATCATTTCTATTCAAGGTAACTTGTTTTCTTTAAGATATAAAGGTAATTATTATATCATTACATTATTAGCTAATTAGAGTCTGCATTTAAAACATACTATTTTCAAAACACAGATTTTGATTGGTGGTTTTTTTTTCATGTTTGGGTACACCTCTCCATGGTTAGTTGCAGCTTTTATGATACTTGACAGGTGAAATTACTTTTTGTAAATTTTTTCCACATTAATTATTTTTATATTTATATAAACATATTTTTTCCTACATGAACTTTTTTAATTTTTATTTTTTACTACTTATTTTAAACAAATTTTTATACAATGATTCTTTGACTTATAAAAATACATAATAATTTATGCTAGCAATTTAAGTAACATTGTAATTTATGTAAGCAATTCAAGTAGCATTGTAATTTATGCAAGCAATTCAAGTAACATAGTAGTTTATGCTAGCAGTTCAAAAAAATATAGTAATGCTAGCAATTCAAAAAACATGATATATGATTTAGTCTAGTTAGTTAAACATGAAAATTTTAGATAATTTTAGTCTAGTCTAGTTAAACATAAAAATTTAGTCTAGTAATTCAAAAAACGTATTACCTCATATAATTTATGATAGCAGTTCAAAAAATAGTAATTTATTATTGCACTTATGAAGTTTTGTAAAATAATGAAAAAAACATTTAATGTCGTGACCCCAGACAATTTATTGGTGGAATCATAGTATTACTATTTGTAATCAATAATAGAATTAGTCTACCCTCACACCCTAGGGTAGTTTTGCATGTTTAGGATGTGTACGCGTTTGTGTATGTGTATAGAGAATTTAAGTAAATAAAATATAAAATTCTTATAAAGTAATTCAATAAATGAAAAATTCTTATAAAGTTATTTAATAAATAAATTTACTTAAGTATAACATACAAAACTAATTGAATTAAATTCCCATCAACATAAAAAGTTGAATTCTCATCAACATAAACAATTCTTTGAAGTTTCATTAATTTCAATTAGAGAATAGAAATGATTCAAAATATTTTCAACTTCAACGATAAAAATGCACAGGTTTTATGCAAATTTTGTTCGCTTCATAATCACTTTTTTCTCTGATTATTAATAATTAGTAATGCTGCGTAGTTTTTATTTTTTTGATTATTAATAATGCTTTGTGGTTTATTATAATTAAATAGTTTTCATAAAAAAGTAGTTGAAGGTTTATAACAATTTAATATAACAATATAACAATATAACAATTTAAAGGTACATCAAACTTATAAAATAAATTATATGAAAGGAAGATTAAACACATTTAACAATAATTTAAAGAAAATTTTTCCTGTCATGCAGGTCAAAGATGAGCTCCACAAATGTAATACTTGTCAAAGCCAATTTGACATTTGTAGTCATGAACGGTCTGCAATTGAAGATCATTGCAAGTCTATTAAGCACAAAATGGGTTTGGATGCTTTTATATTGTCAAACAAAATCACAAAGTTGATGAAGAGTCATAGCTTTGGTCAAAATTAAAAAATATAACCATTCAAAAAGGAACAATTGCCTCCCACACAATCATAAACAACCATGCTTTTAAAACTGCTCAAAACAGTTCTTAGGAATTTTTTTAATCAAAGATTTGCTTGTACACGTACAAAATATGCATACAAAATGTGAAACAAAAATTATAGGCATTTTTATGAAGTTTTGTGAAACTCAGAAAATGCTTTGTTAATAGCATTATGTGTCAATTCTTTATAATGCATCAAATCACAAAGGCATTAATATGTATCCCATTTGTAAGTGAAAAACTTGGATTGTGTAAGTGATAAACATGGATTGTGTAAATGATAAACATGGATTGTGTAAGTGATAAAGATGGATTGTGTAAGTGATTAAGATGGGTTGTGTAAATGATGAACATTGATTGTGTAAGTGATAAACATGGATTGTGTAAATGATAAAGATGGGTTGTGTAAGTGATAAAGATGGGTTGCTTAAGTGGAGAAACATCAGATATCTTATTAGAAGTTTTCTATAAACGAATATATGGTAACAAAATTTTTTAAAAGTTTTGGCTATTTCTGCAGACATTACCAATACAAATTTCATAGGTTTCAAATGAAATGCTAATAACAATATTCACAAAAACTTACTTCTCATGGTAAAATGTGAAATCATTGGCATTGGTTGAAATGCCCACATTTTGTCAAGCACAATGAACATTTCATCTGGTTGTTTATCAATTGATTTGGAGATTGATTGTTCCTCAAATTTACTTGTTATTTTACCATATCACTGGTCAAGTTTAGAAAATACAAAAGAGGCCACTATTTTACAAAAGAGGCTACTGTAGAGTTTTAAAAAGTTGTTAGAATTCTCAAAGGTTTATTGTTTGGCCTTACTTTCAGCCATTGAAAAAGTGCTTAAGTTATATCAGCTGCAAATTCTTTTTAAGGGAAGAAAATTATCCAAAAGTGATGTTTTAGGTGGCTTAACTTTATTAAAAATGAAAAATAAAAAGTCATAATTTTTTTTTTGCTTCTTTACCTAGTTTAAACATTAGCAAATTCCAAAAATTTATTATTTGAGATGAATTATTCGTTTAATTATAAAGAAATTTACGTTTTTATAGTATAGGGTGAATAGTGTTATCCATAGCAACACCTTAGCAACCATGTCAGCTTTGTTTTTTTGCCCATATTTTGACACAAAACTTTTGATTTAAACTGCTAAATGCATTTTTCACTTTGTCTACTTTGTCTTACAGCATTCTGTTGTTTACAAGTTATAGTTTTAATTTTAATGATAATATTTAAAAAGAAAGAAGTAATATTGTTTATGTTGTGTTGATGTCAACACAGATGCTATAGTGATTTCTTCCAATTTTTTTTATCTATCTCAGTAATACAAATAATTGCATTTATTCTTTATATGTTTATAGAGTTCTTAAATATGGGTAATAATAAAAATCAAATAAAATTAAGCAGAAAAAGACTTCATCTAACAGGTATACATGTGCTGCAAAAAATCAAATTGTGAACCAAAAGTAAAGGAAGCTGTTTTGTCATCAGAAATCAGTTTAGATGATTCACTCCTAACCGATGACAAAGGAGATTCTAACTTCTTTATAATAATTCACTTTAAAGTTGTCTTCAACTTTTAAGTAGATGCCTAGATTGTGGGGACAAGGTCATTGTCAGTCTTGACCAGATAAAAAAATTGGGACTCTCACATAACCTTAAACTTAAAAAAGTAGTTTTGACCCGCCCTAGTGTATATCTTGTGATTGAAGTTGTAATAACTTCTCTCCTGAGATAAAAAATAAACACATTCAAAAAGTCATGCTGAATGAGTTTTCGCGAGATTGGTTTTGCCCTTGAACAACAAAGAGCGTAAATGGCAAAAAGATAAACTTGAAGATACGAGTACCTACAAAGCACATTTAAATTTGTTTCTATCTATAAAAGAAGAAATTGAAAGCATCTTTAAAGAGTCAAGGCTCTGAAGATCTTCTAAAAAGGTGCTTACATGGGTTTACACAAAATCCAAATAAAGCTTTAAACCAAATAATTGGGAATAAGTGCCTAAAGTCTGATTTTGTGTTGCAAGCTATTTTAGGAGTATATTCTGCTATCATTAATTACAATGAAGGTGTTATTGGATTTAATTATCTATTTAAACTATTGTCCTTATTGTCCTTAATGTATTTAAACTATTGTCCTATGCAACAAATAAGGACAATACTTGTATCAAGCAAATTAATAGTAAAATGAGCACAAAAAAAATTAAAAAAGAGGAAAATTAAAAGTGCAGTTAAAAAAAAATTCTTTGACAAAGAAAAGAGACAGAGGGTGAAACTTATAGTTCTGGGGCACTCTAGTTTCATATTTGTATACTATTTATTTCATTTTTAATTTTATTTTTCATTTTTCTCAAAAATAAGTTATTGTTACGTTTACTTGAATTTAAACAACAATTTTTAGTTCTTCTATATAACCAATTGACTTGAAATTTTCACAGACATTTCTTAAATATTGGAACTAGGTTTTGAACTAAAAACAACTATTTAGAACTAACAGAACTTGTTTAATAGCTCTTTGTTTTTCTAAAATGACCTGATTTTTTAATGCTCAAAAAGAATTGTCAGCCATTATGGATTAGTACATTTTTGAATTTTGATTTTAGTTCAGAAACTTTTTTACTACTTTACCTATATGCTGTCCAAATTTATTTCAAATACTACTTATAGATTCTGAGACACTGTTTAATTTTTTTTTTTTGATTTTTGCTGACACAGCTTTTTTTTTAAGCATTTTTAAAAGTTTTTTGTCAAATTTTTTTTTTTATCAATTATGTTAACAGTAAACTTAGTCTAAAGATATTTTTTGTTTAAATTCTGCCCAAAGGAAATATTTTTTTCTTGAAACTCACAATTAAATGTGACGCACTGTTGAATGTGACACATTGTTGGATGCAACACACTGTTAAATGTGACACACTGTTAAATATGACACACTGTTGAATGTGATACACTGTTGAATGTGACATACTGTTGAATATGACACACTGTTAAATGTGACACACTATTAAATGTGACACACTGTTGAATTTGAAACACTGTTGAATGTGACACACTGCTGAATGTGACACACTGTTGGATGCAACACACTGTTAAATGTGACACACTGTTGAATGTGACACGCTGTTGAATGTGACACACTGTTGAATGTGACACACTGTTGAATGTGACACACTGTTGAATATGACACACTGTTGAATTTGACAACAGTTACAATTACAAAAATTCTTCTGTAGAGCAAGTATTTTTAATTTCCAAATAGAAATCCCAACTTACAATGACAACTTTGGCAGCATTTTGAATTATTAAATTTAATTGAAGAAAATATAACTGTTCAGAATTTGCAAAAAAAGTTGACAATTTGCTGAAAAGAATTCATTCTTAAAAAAAAAATATTTGTGATTTAAAAATGCACAAAATTTGTTATTATTTTTTCATAATTTAGTTTCTAGCACATGATATTAAAAAAAAATAAACTTTAAAAAGTATTAGCTCAAATGAGTTTTTAGAAAAACCCATTTAAGTTTCATAAGTTTATTTATTGTATGCACCTAGATGCGTATATGACCATATATGAAGTCCTTTTTTTAAATATGTTCACCTAAATTACATTGGATGCAGAGATATGTGTTTTGTCAACTGAGCAAATTAAACACAAATCCAATCTCTCTGAACATTTGTTTAGAAAAATTGGATTTGTGAAATAAAATATTAGAGAGTGTCAAAAGCATTAACTTAATTGAAAGCTTTTCATACCTCCTAATACTAAAATGACAACAATCACAAAAGCCAGTTGGATCTCTTGAATATATTTTCCTGCATCATTTAAGTCACTTAGTTGCTTCAAAATTCCTTTAAATCTTTCGTTTATAAAGAACCTTGTTAATAAACCTCTGCTCTTACACAAGAAGTAAACAGTCTTCTTGTTCATTTAGTCGTTTTTGCGATGATTTGGGATTTTTTCAGAGGCCAAGTTCATGAAATATTTATTTTCCAACTAACCTGAAACAAAATCCCAATAATAAATTTCATATTACTTTACAGAGCCAGCAAATGCAATTTTTTTTTTAAATATATAAATGATTTGTATTTTTTATTAAAACTAGAAATTTAAAAAAAAATTCTTATTTCTATAAAAAAAGAATTATTTAACAATCTCTAGCAATAGTTATACATTATAGTCATAAATTCAACTATACATTCAAATATTGGTAGAAAATAAGTGATAACAGTTAAAGTTTTACAATACTAAATTTCTGGTTTTATGTGATTTATCCACATTTTGAAATCAGGTTTTCTTTTGCAGGCAGTGTAATCAGATATTGGGATCTACGAATGACTACCGAAAGTAGTGCAAATCATTTTCCCAAAAATTTCCTGAGGTCCTGACATCAGGAAATTTTTCGGGATAGTGTTTTTTTGTTTTTTCACAACAGTGTAGATGTTATTCTAAAAGTTTGCTACATTTATGTTGCTAAAAATTTACTTCACTTATGTGTTCAGTTTTTACATATTTTAAAAAAAAACATCTTTACCCAAGTAATATCCACCACCTTTTTATAAATAACGCTCTCACAGAAAGTGTTTCAAAGTAAAAAGATTAAACTGTAAAATAACACTTTTGAAAGCGATGTAATAATGAAAAGTAAGTTTTTTTTTATAATTAATATTTGTTTTTACCTCTTAATATTTTATTTGACTTATATCTTTACCATGGTTATTAGTTTTTAGTTGAATGCTTAATATGTGGCCATGTATATTGTCTCATATTATAGTAATTGACATCCAGCATATATATTACAACATTTATTACACTTATATATCATATATTACATCAACATATATATTTATAATTACAGCTATTAAAATATGACAAAAATTTTTTTTTTTATCTTTAGCACAATTGTTAGTGCAACATTTTCTCTGTTTAATCTCTCAGTATCTGACATAATTGATCATGATCAAATTTGTTATAACAGGAGGTAAGATTTATCAATTAGTTTCTTAGTTTAGTTGTTTTTTTAAGTTGTTCTTATATAAGTTTATTCATTTCCAAAAGCAGCTCTGCAGAATTTAAATAATAATAATTATGAGCGACATTAGGGTAGATCTATGATGAAAGGAGGTTAAATAAGATTAAAAAATGGACAGTTAAAATGAAACAAAGAAAAACCCTAAAAAGCCAGTTTTTTGAAAAGAAACCATAATTGATTAAGTTTTAATTGTTAACCAGAATTTTCTATATAAGTTAGAAGTCAATCTAGGTACTTTTAGACACTAGGTATGGTTTTTTTAAAAATCAAAAGGTGATGCAAAAGTTATGTTATAATAATAAATGTTATCAAGAGGTGTTAAGATAATTAAATTGTATTAATACATGATATCAAGAGGTGTTAAGCAAGTTATATTGTATTAATACATGTTATCAAGAGGTGTTAAGCAAGTTATATTGTATTAATACATGTTATCAAGAGCTGTTAAGAAAGTTATGTTGTATTAATACGTGAAATAAAGTGGTGTTAAGTGAAGTTACCTATTAATAATACATGATGTAATAAGCTTAAAAGGTGTAGGAAAAAACTGTTAATTAAATCAAAAATTATCTAAAAAGTATCAGATTGATTTAGTTAAAAGTGTACCTATCTATGATTTTTAAAATATATTTTAGTTACACATTTTTAACTCAAGGTAAAATTGATACTAATATTTTTTTATAATAACAAGTATTAATAAAGTTTTTTTTTTCAAGTCGCCCTGTGTCATCAATGATTTTTGGTTTAAACGCGCTTATAACTAAGCCTGCACAATCTCTTGCACCTGTTATTATACTGTTTTTGTTAAATAAAGCTGGATACAAGGTAACTCTTTCTTTTGGTTTCATAAGTTAATCTTTTAACTTAATATCTTAAAAATAATTTATTTTTTATTTTTTTTAGAATGATACAATGACTGACTCTAGTAAGTAACATCTGTTTTTTTTAAAATCAGGCTTACTAATTGTCTGGAAACATGAATTTTTTATGGCGTTATTAGGGCGAAATATTTATATATCATTATATTACCTCATATTTTTCCTAATAATTATGCAACAAATATATGAAAAATTGAAGCCAATGTTTTTGCTGGCTGTTAAAAACAGAAAGCCCTAAAAAAAAATAAAAATGATTTGTTAATACAGTAGTTGTATTTTTGTTTAATTTATGTTTTTTGTTTGGTTTGGGTAACTGCTTTTCTCAAAATAAAAATTATTCTCCCTTTACGTATAAAAATGTATCTCATTAATTAAAAATAATGATGCTAAAAATCCATTTAATGTTGTTTACATCCAAATCTACTTACTGACATTAATTTAAAGATGACAGACCTAGTGTTTTATGTTTGTTTGTTTTTTTTTTTTTTTTTTTTTTTTTTTTTTTTTTTTTTTTTGTTAAACAAATAAGCATAATTCACTGGTAAATCCTGTATGAATTTAGTGAATTTAGAGGCTTTTAAATAAGAAATTACCCGTTAAACCATCAAACCTAATCTTGTTTTCTTTGAGTAGAGTCTTTCTTCTACTTTTAAAAGATGTTATCATGGAAAGTAACCACTAAGATTTTAAATAGACTTATTTACTCTTTTAAATCTCTTTTTTTAAATAGACTTAAAAGATTTTAAATAGACTTATTTACTCTTTTTTAATCATGAAATGTTCAAAAAAAGCATAAAAGTATAATATACCTAAAACCTTAAAAACGTTTATATTGGTAGTCACACAAGAAAGAAAGATCTTATACTATTTCTTTTTATGTAATTTTTTAGTTTTTATTTTCTTAAAATATAAAAATATTATTTTGAATTAAGATGTTTGGGAGCAAAAGTTCTAAAATTTAAACCGAAATTTGACAGTCTCAAAAAAAAAAAAAAAAAGGTTTCAGCAGATAAAACTTTTCATGCATATTTATTACAATCCTATAAATATTAATCATTGATCATGAATGTTTTGGTTGGTATAGTCTTATTGTCAATTTAGAAACTTTGAAATTATTTCCAAATCGATATTTTGTTTAATTTTTGCACAAAATTTAATAATTAACAAAATTTTTACTTAAAATCTTTAATTCTCAATTTAAACTAAATTTTTAAAATAAACTTACAAAAGAAACTTCCACATACACACGTACGAATAAACACACATCCATTCCCAACTACAATAATAACCCTCCAACTGCTATAAAATATGTATATAGAAAATATGTGTATATATTTTTCTACATTCAGGAACATTTCTAATAAAATTTGCAACATTAAATAACTTACAAATATAAACATGAGTTAAATAAATGAGTTGCAAGAATTAAATCTTTTTAAAAATATAAAAAGAATAATCACAACCTCCATCTCATCAATGACAACCTCCCTCTCATCAATGACTACCTCCTTCTCGTCAAGACAACCTCCGTCTCATCAATGACGACCTCCATCTTGTCAATGCACTAATATAATAATTATCTTCCCAATCAATGCTAATTAATAAGTGTTTGTATCTCCCACTTTTTATCTCTTTTTATTTTCCTCGTCTAATAACTTTAACCACTGTGCTTAGCTCTCTCTTTATTATTGGGCCTTTCTCCTCTTTCCCTTCACTACAATTTGAAACAATTTATTTTTTATTTGAACTCGTAATTTTAGTTATTAACATTTTCATCTAATTATTTTTGTTTCACATGTGCAATATTTTTAGCAAACCGATTTTGTCTCACAAAAACAGTCTAACTATTGATTTGTTTCTATTAATATTCATTTCACTTTACATAAATAAAATGTTTTATTTTTTGTTGCTGCTTTTATTTTAAAAATTTGAAGAAAAAAAACATTTAATTAGCCATTTAATTAGCCATTTAATTAGTCATCTTTAATGTCAAAAAGGGTTAACTACAAAATTAAATTATATATCAAAAAAATTATTAATTTACTTATACAATTTTTATAAGCCAATGGAAATGCATAGACTATAGTGTCATCTTATATGAGTCAGTTGTGTTTTCAACTCATTGCTTATTGTTTAAAGATAAATGAACGGTTTAATGAATTTAAAAAAAAAATCTATATATACACATTTTAGAAAAAGTGGATTTTTTTAATTGATGTTGTTTGACACTAAACCCTCAAATAGTAGTTTATCCTCTTTGTAAATATGCTACATATAACGACTGTTAAGTTAATTAATTTTTTTTCAGTTGAGAAGTCATTGTCCGAAGCAATGTTCTCTATAATGGTGTTTGTTCCAATTATAATTGGTGTTTTGCAATTTTTGCTTTGGAATATATATTCCCTTCGAAATACTAACAAAGATGAAAATGAACTTAAGTTTAAGTTTTAATTTCATGTTTTACTTTAGTAAATATATTTGTAATCTTATTATTTAATATTTATCGCATTCTTTTATTTGTTTGAACTGTTTATTAAAGGAATTTTTAATATCTGATCTATAAAATCTTTTTTTTTTGATCAAAACAGTGTTTAAAAATAGATAAATAATAAAGACCTTATAAATATCTTAGTTAATTCATTTATTATGTATAATATATAAATTATTTGTATCTTACGTCTTATAAATATTGCTTTTTTTATTTGTTTTTATTTTTTCTTTTTTAATTTAAGTTCCTAAAACTGATTAAGTCACCAACCTAGGTTAGTGAATTAACGGCACCTGTTCAAGATGTAATTGAGAACACGAAGGTTGTAATTAAGAAACGTAAAATATAGTTGAAAACTTATTTTTTATTATTTTAAGAGATTTGTAAATAAGAAAGCGTAAGATATAATTGAGAACATGGTAGTTAATGGTAAGGATAGTATATTAAAGATAGTCAGATCAAAGTCCTTAGTTTTTCAGATTTGTAGCTTAATTTACTATGTCATTTTAGTCTTAGTTGGATTCGCTTCTAGCTAAGCTGGCTAACTAGGTTGCTTTAAAGTATTTTACAGTGTGGCGGTAACTGGAAAAATTCAATCAGATGTTTACTCGTATTCAGATAAATGATAAATAAAATATAAAGAGTTTATTTCCAAAAAAACATGAAATTTAGTTAAATTTCAACAATGTTATTAGAAATCATTTAAATATTCAGTTCATTTAAATATTCATTCAACACCAACTTGGACGTCTTCCATATTTTACAAACGCTTTGTAATGCGTAGTCTCATGTTGTACAGCACGTGCCCGATCATCTCCCATTATTGAATTTTTACCGCAGTAACAATTCTATCTAAATATTGCATTCGTTGTTCTACAATTTCAGCATCTAATACACAGGACCGCCATGAGGAAGGGGGCCAAAAGGACAGTTTGTCGCGGGTGGCAGATATCCAAGGGGCACCAAATAAAAAGAAGGTACAAAAAATAATAATAAGGTCCTTTATCCATAATGTGGGGAAATTTGGATAAATAAGGGCGCCAATCAGGGTTGCTGTCCCAGGCGGCGTGAGGGCTCTTAGCTGTCACGCCGCCTGGGACAGTAACTGCTTTTGTAGAAAAACTTTTTACAAAAGCAGTTTAGTATATTTTTACAAAAGCAGTTTAGTATACCTCTATCATTAAATATGTTTATTAAATATTTTTCTGCATGATTTTTTAACCCTAGTTTTCTTGACTGACTTCTCAAAGTTCACGGGAAAAAAAAGTCAGACGAGTTATCGTCTATGTGTTTTATCGTCTTCAATTATGTACATACTTTTATCCGGCATTACTTTAACCAAATTCATTGCGTGTCAAATTCCTTTAATTTCACCATTTAAGCTTTTCATAGGCGTATTTTTCCTGTGAAATGCTTTAATTCCAGCATTTTTAAGTACTTTTTTGATATATAAAACTTTAAATATAAATTTTTAGAGAAATCTCAATTTAAAGTTGACCGAATTGTTCTGAGCCCACCCAATAATTCTACTAGCTTAATTGTAATTTCATTCAATTAAGAAGACAAATAGACCTATAACATTATGGTAGCCTTTATTATGGTGCTATTGGCCTTTTAGCTAGTTCTACTACTACACCTTTTGTAATTGAGAACTTGAAAGTTTTAATTAAGAAATCGTAAAATATAATTGAGAACATAATAGTTGTAATTAAGAAATGTTTTTAATATAAATTCTTAGAACTAAATTCTTTGTGTTTTTTAATTTTGTTGCCTTAATTTTGTTGTAATTTAACTAATTGGTGTCCATACGAGTTGGTTTTCAATAAATAATAATATTGAGCAGCCGAAGCGCAGTGGTTAGCGCGCTTGCCTCAGAAGCTAGAGATCCGTGGTTCAACGCCACCTCAAGACAAGTCTTATAAAATCGGTAAAAAAGGGGGCGTGAACTTTTTTTCAAATGAGCAGTGCTCTGTGATAAGTCAGTAAGAACTTCTTCGGGCACCTAAAATAAAAAACATATATATACTATTAACAAAAGAAAAAAGTTATGAAAAAGGCATTTGCGATTTTGGCGGTTATATTACGATATCCAAATTACATTTATTTATTGGTCTTATTAAAATATTTAAAAAAAATATTAAATGGTATATTTCCATTTTATTTGCAAAGATTTAAGTTATTTAAAGAATAAGAGGTAATTCATTTGCTATACTTGGTTTGTGGAAACGAGAAAACTTTCAATTTTTTATCATTGAAGATAGTTTGTTGCATATAAACCAGTCGTTTACATTATTTTTTATTTTTTCTATTTTTTGTGTTATGCTTGATAAGATTTTTAGGATATTTTGTTTAAATAAAATTTAAAATAGTTTTTTACTTGAACTAAATAACATTATAATTGAATAAATAATATTTAAATTAATAATAATTGAATAAATAATAATTAAATAAATAATAGTTGAATAAATAACGAGAGACTTGAAACTATTGCGATCCATCTTAATTTGCTTACATTATATAAACTTTCAAAAGTACTCAACGTCAGATGCATTGTGACATAGTGCCCAGTTTTATGAGAATGTAAAAGAAAGAATTTGCGCTGAGCTTTTGATTCCTTTTGCGACCTTTTGTCTAAACCATTGTTAAATTATACTTAAATAGGCCTTAAAAGAAAATGGAATTCAGTGATTGTTGCTATTTAAGCTACCAAATATAATTTTAAAGGTATACAGAGTCCAAGCTATAGATAAAAAATAAATTATTTTTACTTCATAGAAAACTTCAAGCTGACTTTTCTAAACTAAAGTTTAATTCATCATGGTTACTCACTACTAGGTGTAAAAATGCCTGCAATTTGTGTTCTTTTGGTGCTTGACATGCACATTAAAATGAATTACATAAACTAAATGCATGTTAGCATGCATTCATGTTAATCTATATGGTAAACTATCTATCGTGTATCGTGTCTGTCGTGTAAACAAACAAAATGTGCGTTAAAGTTTAAAATATAAGTTATAAAATATAGCTTTAATATTTTATGAAAGTAAAGCCAGTAACTATGGTTGCCAGTATGAGCAGATGCTAAGATGAGACCTCTACGATAAACTTTTATTTAAAATAGCACCTAAGAAGTTTACATATAATTGTTTAGTAATATTTTTTTTATTTTTTTTCAGATTAGGTAATTTAAAAAGAATTGGATTTATGAAATATTGTCATTGGTTTATAAAATATTGTAGCGTCAGTTTTTTAATGTTATGTGAGAGTCTGTCACGCATAAACCATTTCGTTATTTTGTATTCATTGACTACATTAAAGAGGGGTTCAAAAATATGTCCCTATGAGAATAAAACAGATTGGAGTCAATCGCTAACAAAATAAATTTTTATTAGTTTGAGGTAAAAAATAAATTATTTAACTAAAGAGGAAATAATAATGGTTCTTAAATAAAGCATAGAGGAACATCACATTATACATTATAATTTGTACAAAAGAGAAAGAGACATCTTTGTAATGATGTGACAATTCTTAGCTGTAAGAACAGTTTATAGTACATTAAAAATGTTCTTTTATTTCAATTTGAAAAGGTCATTATGAAAATTACAAAAAGAATAGAATCAATAATAAAATGCTACAATTAAGTGATGCAAACCGCAGTGAATGGTAATTTTAAAACAGTTAGGTTATATAGTTTTATGAGAAGACAGTAGAATTGGAATGAAAAAGCGCAAGCAATTTTACTGATTAAAATACTATTTTATTATAGAAACAATTGATATTCATTGTTTATTTTAATTGATTGCCTCACTTGATCGCAGTGTTAGATCAGTCAATATTATATTTTAAAAAGATCTTGAAATTGTTGTAAGGATTTTTCAATGATTTTCCGTTTGTATATAGTAGTTTCAGAAGAAATATTATTAACTTTTATATTGTTAAGTGTTATGAGCTTAGTATTTTTCAATGTTTTATATAAACAAGACAGTTCAGTGAAATTTTTACATGCACATAGCTAACTTTTTTTTACAACTGCACAATATAATGAAATCAGACAACTGGCAAAACTGATCAACCAAACCATTTTTCCAAGACATTTTTCAAAAATACTGAATTTAAATATTAAGAGTGGATTTTAAAGATTAATCAACGGACACATTAGAATATCTATAAAAATGTTATTATCTTTATGCGCGAGTAGGAAATATTTACAACTTGGTAAATTTTTGGAAATATTTACAACTTGGTAAATTTTCGGAGATATTAACGAGTGTGTTTCTTAACATGGAACTATTTTAAATTTGGTTTTATATTTTTTTTACAGTTTTAAATTCTCTGTATATACTTTAACGCCTAAAGAAGATTGTTAGTTAGAGGTGTTCATGTTATCTAAATACTTGTTTTTATTATTATTATTATTATTTTTTAAAAAGAATACATTTTCCACCATTTTTTCACATTTTCCCCCAAAATACTTTGTTATCCTAAAAGTTAGTGTAGCATTATGTAACTAGATAGATCTTTCAATCTTTTTTCCTCAATTGATTATTAAAACTAATATTGGTTCGAATAAAGTAAATATTCCAAAAAGTAAAACGTAAAAAGTTAGCATATGAAATAAGCATGGTAGCAAACATTGCACCTTAAAATAAAAAAATAAAAAATTCATTTGGAGTCTGGATCAGTTAGAAAGATAAAATTGTTTTAACCTGTAGCTTATACATAGATGCACGTAGCTGAATCAATTAAAATAAATACTAAGTTTGATAAGTTTTGATAATCATAAATTTTTTATTTTAAGTTTTTAAATTTGTTGTTTTTAATCCGAAAAACAATATAATGTAAATTTAAGTTAAATTGCAAAATTATTTTAACTTTTAATTCAATCGAAGTTATAAAAATTCACCTCCCAAAATTCATTTTCTCTTAATATTTCTTATTTTTTTGCGTTCGTTATCACTTTTTTTTCCACTTCATTATTATTATTTAAAAAATAAAAACATAAAACGTAATTAGAGTTGATTTTTTCTCAAACAAATATAGGGTAACCTGGGGCAAAGCGAGACACCGGGGCAAAGTGAGACATTTGGGTTTTCTAGGATTGTACAAAACTTTTTTGAAATGATATAGTAATTTTGTTTTACTATATTAAAAATTTCATGTTTTTTTAATGTTTTAAAGTAGGTTCCATCAGGTTTTTCCTATAATATGACATA